GAATTCTTGGCATTTCTAAAAGCAAAAACAAATCTTTTATTGGAAAATTAATCGAAATTTTATCCAAAAAAAACCGGATTATCATAAAAAAGTAACGTATCTTCTTATTAACATACAGTAAATATTCAAAATTGAACACAATACATGAAAAATAGAGAAATGAAAATCATTCGTCATTAATATAAATTTTTCGAAAATTTTGAGCTTATTTTGTTTTTTTAAGTGTCAAATCTAGAAGTTTTTTGTTCATTAGCAGCAATTGGATTGTCATGTACAGTGAGTAAAGCTTCTTTAACATCTTCATCATGTGATTTAAGATTTTCATTCATATCAGGAAAAAGATCAATTGTAAGTGGAATTTGTTTTGGTGATGTTGATGGTAAATTCTTCTCATAACATGCTGGATCATGTAGTGGTTCATCAGTTGTATGAACAAGACTTGAACGACATTTCATATTACTTGTACGACGTCCATTATTATCACTTGTTGATAATCTTGGATTTCCGAAAGCTTGTGATTGAATTGAAATAATCGATCCATTCTTTTTTGCTCGTTCAATTGCTTCTTTACGTTTTGTAGCTTTTTCTCGACGTAATTGTTCTTTATAATATTCAGCAAAATTATTAACAATAATTGGAATTGGTAATGCAATAACAAGTACACCACAAACACAACAAACTGAACCAATTAATTTACCCCACACTGATTTCGGATATATATCACCATAACCAACTGTTGTCATTGTCTATTTTTATTTAAAAAATAAATTTAATAGACAAAGAAATAAAACGTTTTTTTTGCTTAACTTACAATACTAGCCCACCAAAAAGCATGTGGAATTGATCGAAATTGTATAGCATTTCCATCTTTTTCAGCAAAATAAGCTAAACTTGAAAATAATAATATAAATATTGCAAGAAACATTAAAAGCATTGATAATTCTTTATAACTTCGTCGTAATGTATAACCTAATGATTGTAAACCGGTTGAATGTCGTGCTAATTTTAATATACGCATTATACGTAAAACACGAAATACTTGTACAGCTTTTCGAACAGATTTTAAATTTTTTAAA